GGGGCAGGCAGGGATCTAACTCATGTGGAAGTGGCTTAAGCTTCTCAGTGCTCTGCTTTAACCCGCTGCGCCACCAGGGAGGGCCCCTATTTACCCATTTTTAGACAGAAAATTCTCTCCCCCTTTCTCCTGAGCATGTTGAGGTGGTCGATCACCCCAACAACTGGATCTCACACTGACAGAGCAGGAAGCACGGGATCATTTCTCATAGGGGTCTTCAACCGCCTTGTGTCGTTCATCTCGTCCTATTATTCCCGCTCCTTGATCCCATTCCTGTTCCTTTTCAGGCCTAACTGGGAATCCTGCAGATCTGGAGAAGCGTAAACACGTATTTGGGCAAAACTTGATCCCCCCCAAAAAGTCCAAGACATTTTTGGAGCTGGTGTGGGAAGCCCTTCAAGACGTCACGCTCATCATCCTGGAGATCGCCGCCATCATCTCCCTGGTCCTGTCCTTCTACCGCCCTGCTGGGGAGGAGAATGAACGTGAGTGTCCCAAGCACCCCCTCAGCCTGGCTATGCTCCTGCCAGCCCCCAACCCACTATCCCAGGGGGGCAACTAATGTCCTTTTTCCAGGGTCTTTCCCTCCATCATCTTCACCTAGAATGGCATGAATCCTCCACTCCCCAGGGTGCCTCCCTCCCACCCTTGCCTGGCATGGCAGTGGGAGCCTGACGGTACTGGGGACCCAAAGTTCTTGATGCCAACTTGTCTGTGGTTCACAATAGCGTGTTTTGTGCTGTCTGGTTGTGTACTTCTGGGTTGGTGTAAACAGCAGTGCCACGGCCGCTGTCCCCCGTCCGCCCCAGGGAACAGCTCTTCTCCCCAAGAGCTTCACTTGCTATTGATCGCTTCCCCTGACTTCCATCCTGGGGCTAGCAGAAGCACTACCCCAATTTTTAATGTCCACAGAAGCCCCCCGGTAACCCTCTCTCCCCTTCCCCTGGGCTAGAGTGTGGTCTACCCGTAAGCAGCCCAGAAGACGAAGGGGAGGCCCAAGCCGGCTGGATCGAGGGGGCAGCCATCCTCCTCTCCGTGATCATCGTGGTGCTCGTGACTGCCTTCAATGACTGGAGCAAGGAGAAGCAGTTCCGGGGGCTGCAGAACCGCATTGAAAGGGAGCAGAAATTCTCCGTTATCCGAAATGGCCACATCATCCAGCTGCCGGTGGCCGAGATCGTGGTGGGTGACATCGCCCAGATCAAATACGGTGAGAAGCCCGTGGCTCGAGCCGGCCGCCCTGCCCGTTTGAACAGCACGTCCTCTGGCCCCAGGCGGGGGGATCCAAAAAGGAGAGAGCCTAAGGCGGTTGTAGGAAGCAAATTCAAAAAAGAAATAGCTGAAATGCCCCCCTGTGGATGGTCAGACTGGTATCCTGTGTCATTTTTTTTTTTTTAAGATTTATTTATTTATGCACACAAGAACTGGGATGTAGGCCAGAGGTGTGAGGGGGTGAGAGAATTCACAGAGACAAGAGTGGGGAGCAGAACAGGTGGATCCACTGAAATACGTTGCTGAGGGGAGCAGCGGGCAGAGAGGTCTGCTGTGCCCTGTGGGTCACCTCCCTGGCCAGGGATTGAACTCGCGCTGCAGAGGCTGCGGAGAGCTTCATAGTGTGATGCTTTAACCCGCTGCGCCACCACGGAGGCCCAATCCTGTGACAAAATATTTTCTTAAAAAAAAAAAGATAGGCCCTCCCTGGTGGCGCAGCGGGTTAAAGCACTGCACTAAAAAGCTTAAGCCACTTCCGCATGAGTCCGATCCCCGCCTGCCCCAGAGGTCACCACATGGTGCAGCAGACCTCTCCTGACCTGCCCGCTGCTCCCCTCAGCAGTGTACTTCATAGATCTGCCTGTTCTGCCCCCCACTCTGTCCCTGGTAAATCCTCTCACCCTCCGCATCTCTGGCCTGTATCCCAGTTCTGTATGAATAAATAAAGAAAAATCTTAAATAAAAAAAAAAAGATAAAGGTGTATGTATAATACTCAGCTCCAGGAGACTGTTAGGGGATCACTAATAGTTTGAATGTTTAATACCTGGAAGGAGCCTTGTCCCGGGTTGTCAGAGGTGAAGCTCTTCTGAATCCTGGGTGCGCTCTGGGCATTGCTCTACAGCTCTGCCAGTGGGAGCACCCCGAGATGGGTCTCCACACGCCGGGCAGGCTCTCACCCCTCCTCCCCTGCTGGCCCTTCTCCCTCGTGCACTAGGTGACCTGCTGCCTGCTGATGGCATCCTGATCCAGGGCAACGACCTCAAGATTGATGAGAGCTCTCTGACTGGGGAGTCGGACCATGTCAAGAAGTCCCTGGAAAGAGACCCCATGTTGCTGTCAGGTATCGCCTCAGGCTATCGCCTCAGGGTGTCCCAACTCCCATCCAACCTGCCCCCAGACAGCCGGGTCACAGGCCCTGCCACACCTCTGGGCTCAAGAGGACCAGTAGTGGTATCAGTGGGTTGGGAACAGGACATCAGGCAACCTAATCACTAGGAAGCAAGGGCTCTGGAGGCCTGGGCAGGTCTCTGCTGGGGACGGAGCAGGGGCAGCTGGGGGGGGGGGTTAACCCTAAAGCAGTTACATACTTGCTCCCAATTTGTTTGGGTCACTTTAAATGGTCCCAGCTCTTGATTATCAGCTACATGTATCATTATCCATGAGGAGGCAGGAAGAGGGGCTGTTTTTCTTTTTCTTTTTTTTTTTTTTAAGATTTATTCATTTATGCACACAAGAACTGGGGTACAGGTCATAGGTGCGGAAGAGTGAGAGGATTCACCAGAGACACAGTGGGGAGCAGAACAGGCCGTTGAGCAAAATATACTGCTGAGGGGAGCAGCGGCTGAGACAGGAGACAGAGACAGGAGAGGTCTGCTGTGCCATGTGGGTCAGCTCCCTGGCTTCATAGTGCTACGCTTTAACCTGTTGTGCCAACCACCTGTTGTGTTTCACGCCAAGTCATCGCCAGGGATGAATAGCACTGCCCAGCTTCTCCTTCTTCACCTAGGGACCCATGTCATGGAAGGATCTGGCCGGATGCTAGTAACTGCTGTGGGTATCAACTCCCAGACTGGAATCATCTTTACCCTTTTGGGGGCCAGTGAGGAAGAAGAGGAGGAGAAGAAGAAGAAAGGTAAGAAGCATAAGGAATGAGGTTCTCCTCCCTCTCTCTCCCATGGACAAACTAGGAAGCAGGGGAGACACCTTGGCTGGAATGCCTGGTTGAAAGACTCTGCCGGATGAAGAGCACAGATAAAGATATCAAGCCTGCCCCTCACACCCCCCACCCCAGCCTGCTCCAGCGAAACCAGACCCTGTATTTAGGCTCCCAAATAGAGTGGCTATGAGCCTCAATCCTGTGTTTGCTGGGGGGTGAAAGGGATGAGTTCGAAGTCTGCCCCAGTGAGCAAGCCAGCTCCTCCGACCCCATCCCGCCCCGCTTCCTTCCTCCACACGGGTGGAAACGAGCCGGCCAGGCTAAGGGGAAACTGGCCAGGAGAAGAAACAGGAAGATGCCAGCTGACACTGGGCTGCCCGTGCTGAGAGACCCCGCCAGGAGGGTGGGAGCTGAGAGGCTCTGTCTACCCGAGGTGGGTCCTGTCTTGGCCCTTAACTTGTTTCTGAAGGAAGGAAAAACAGAAAGCAAAAGATACTAAAATCAAGTCTACACCTTTCCCTAAGTGTTCTGCCCTCCCTCGGTCGAGAGCAATGACTTCTGTCACTCGGCTGGAAGACCAGTTAGGCTGCTCGGCAGAGGGCAGTGTGGAAGCAAAACACGTGCCCCCAGGAGCTGGGCTGGGCATGGAGTGGACACACCTTTCAGGGCCTCTGCCGTCAGGCGGACACAGCCGAAACCTCTCACTTCCCCACCGCCCCGCCACCCCACCGCCCCAACTCAGGCCAGAGGCGCCCTCCCCACTACAACTGTGCCCCACCTCAGAGCAGCTGGCGTGGGGTGGGCACCTGCCTGGGTGGGGCTCACCCACCCCCAAGGAGCAGGAGGGTGAGATCGTAAGCAGAGCTGTTGGCTTCCTTTGCATTCCCTTCCCTGCAACTCGGCCCCTTTGCCGTCGCCCTTCTGGGCTCTGAGCAGGACCAATAAATTGGATGTCTGATCTCTTAATAGTCACTTTGGGTCTCCACCCCACTTTTTTCTCTCTTGTTCAAACAGGTAAAAAACAAGGAGTCCCTGAAAATCGCAACAAAGGTAACCTCTCCACCCACTCATTTTGCCATCTCTACCTGCCCAAACCAGACCTTTCCAGGCCATCTGCCTTCTCCCTTCTCCTCTCCATAAACCTGTTTTTTGCTGCTGTGGCCCAGGTGCCTCATCCTGAGGAAGGTGCAGAGATTTGGGGTGGTCGCGAGTTTCCAATCCCACGCTAAAATGGAACGACAGCTCCCTCTACTGTTGGCTCACGGAACCTCATGTCCGGGTTTCTCTAGGGGAGCCTGTGGGGGATTGATCTGCTCTTCCCCGGGTGCTGAAATGAACTCTTCGCTTCATTGCCTAGGCTAGATTCAAACGCGAATGGTCATCAGTTTCTGGGTTGGAAGACTTTTCAGGGTCCTTACGGTGGAGGGAGTGGGGCGGGCAGTCCCTGCACCCTCCTCTTGCTGGCTTCCTCATCGGTGTCCTCTTCTGGTCTGGATTCCTTCTCTGGTCATCTTGGGGGTGCCTAGAGAGAGTCTTTTATCAGTACCTCTCTCCCCACCTCTTTCCTTGTTCTCTCCACAGTCTGTTTTCTTCCTTCTGATCCGATGTGTGTTTCTTTTCCTGCTGGCTGTGTTTACATCCGTCTCTGTCTTATTTGTGAGTCTGACAGCAGAGACCGTCTCAGGAAGGGCTTCTACGGAGGGGCCAGGCCCTTCCAGGCAGGGGGCTGGAGGGGTGTTGGGAGCCAGGGAGAATTGCTCTTTTGTCAACAGCTTCTAGAGATCGTTTTTCTTTGTAACCTACTTCATAGTAGTCTTTAGAAATAGAGGCACCATATTGGACAGGCTGGGGAGTTATTCTTTAAGCTTGCATCTCTTTAACTCTTCTTTTAAAAGAAAACTGGATTTATGTATCTGTCTTTATCCCTGCTTTCTCTTATTTCAGGAGGCCCTTTATACCAACTTCTCCCCTCTCTCCCCAGAGACCTAACCCCAACTCCCATTCTGTGCTTCCCTCCTTTCTTCCCCTTATCATTCAACTCATGTAGGACAGATCTGGAAAATACCCCATGCCTGGGGTCTGTGTTCTTCCCTAACATTTCTATCTTGAGAGAGAGAGAAACAAACCTTTAAACAGAGCCAGCTAGGACCTTTATACTCTAGAAACGTCTGCTCACCTTCCCTCCTGCCCCTCTCTGCAGTCAAGAGTCACTATTTTAAGCACTGGGCTCCAGGAAAGATGTTGGTTACATAGCTCAGCAGCACAACTAATCCTCTTGCTGAAATAGGCCTGGCTTGGGGCTTTGAGGTGGGACCAGGAAGCTGCCAATGAAGAGGAAATCCATACCCTAAATGCAAGCCACTAATCTTCAGTTGTTAGAACATTATTTTTAAGGTCCGATAGAGGGCTGAAGGCAAATTCCCCAACTGGCAGGGGATGAGAGTGGTCGGAAGTGATGTCAAGGGTCTCAGGTGTCTTCCAGGAAGAAGGACAGAGGGCTTCTGGTTTCCACCTGCCGGCCACGCCTCCCTCCCACCTTGCCTGCTCACCTGTCTCCTTTGTGCCTCCTAGCAAAGACTCAGGATGGAGTGGCCCTGGAAATCCAGCCACTCAACAGCCAGGAGGGGGTTGACAGTGAGGAGAAGGAGAAGAAGACGGTCAAACTGCCCAAGAAGGAGAAGTCGGTGCTGCAGGGCAAGCTGACACGCCTGGCTGTGCAGATCGGGAAAGCCGGTGAGCGGGGCCTTCTTTGAGCCACCCTGGGTCCCTGCGTGCAGACCCCCTTCCCCCACGCCACCTGGTCTACAAAAGGTGCTGCAGTTTCCAAGAGGCTCGGGAGCCGTCTGTCGCTTCCACCCTTGGTCTCTCTAGGTCTTTTCAGAGAGAAATGTTTACCTGTGCATAAGGGCTAAGGCTCAGAGGGTCTCTCTCATCCAAACAAGTGGGAAGCAAAGGATTTAGGTCACACAGGGGAGATTTACATCAACCAGAAAGAAGCTTATAACTGCTGACTTGTCTCGGGTATTGGCTTATAAATGTCTCAAAGGTGGAGAAAGTTGATGTTTGCTGACGGCACAGTGGGCGCTTCTGGCCAAGCACAGAACGGTGAATTAAAAATAAAAACAGGAGGAAATAGGAAGACGGTGACTAGAGAGGCCCTTTTCAGCGGCGAGGTCACTAAAAGCACTTGTGGTACAGCGAGAGGTGGGGCTCTCCATCACTGGCCTGTTCCCTTCTCCTCCCTCCTGCTCTAGTGGGGCTGGCAGACAAGGGACCAGAAGAAGAGGGCTCCTCCAGTGGGCTGGCCTGTCAGTCCCACAGACGCTCACGGCTGTTTATTGCTTCAGGAACCCCTGACCCCCGTTTGCCACGATCACAGTCTAGCCCAGCCCATTTCTGTGTGTACTCTGCAGCGGGGAGCTTGCTCAAGTGCAGATTGAGTCGGGAGGCCCGGGTGAAGGCCCCGAATGCATTTCTGACGAGCCCCAGGTGACGCCACTGCTCTGCCCTGCGGCGGTGTGGTGAACAGCACAGACATACGCTGTCCACTCCAGCGGCCACTGCTATGTGGCCACTTCGATTTAAACAACTTGAACTGAAATAAAGTCAGGCCCTCAGGTCCTCTGTCACCTTAGCATATTTCAATTGGTGACCCATCCCATGTGGCTGGTGGCTGTTATCTTGGATAATGCAAAGTTAGAAAACACTGAAGCATTACAGAAAGTTCTAGAATGATGTAGCCAGTTCATTCAGTGCTGGGTTGGCTAGCATGAGGTCCCTTGCCTATAAACTGTATGCGGATGCGATGACTTGCAGACGTGGAATCAAGTTACTGAGCTGGACACAGGCTTAAAACATTAAACAGACACCACTTAACCCCTCCTGTTTTTCTCCAAGTCCCCTCTCTTCACTTCCCCCCTGTCCTTACGGATTATGAACCAGACGTTATATCCCCTTTGTCACTTTATTTCGCACTTCTGGCTGGTCCAGGACTAGATGGGGCAATTGCGGTACCTTGAATCACCTGGAGCACTTTCTGAAATTGTGTGCACTCGGTGGCCTGCTGGCCCGGCCTTAGCCCTGGCCCCCACGAAGCAAAGCACAAAAGACTGTGCTGTCCTCGCTGTGAGCACCTCTGTCCTTGTTCTGATCCCCTTGAATCGTCAGAACCTCAGGGCAGCAAAAACCAGCCTGTGGTTTAAAGCAGACTTCTTCCCAGGTAGTCTGTGTACGCTGAGCCCAGGCCTTGGCCTGGAGGCCCTCCGAGTGGCCTGGCATGTGGCGCTCTTAGACCGGCTGTGCTGACCCTGAGCAAACGCTTCCATTTACTCAGCATGTGGGGTGACCAGCTGTCCCAGCTTGCTTAGGACTTACCTGATTTTAGTGCTGAAGGGCCACGTCAGGAAGCTGCTCAGCCAGTCAGATGAGGCTGGTCCTCTACTCCTGTGCCACACCCAAATCACTCAGTGCCTTGGTTTCCACCTCTTTCCAAGGCATGTTACCAGCACCTGATCGCATAGGGTCATTGTGAGGGCTGGAGGGGTTAGTGTGTGTGAAGTCTCTGGCGGGCCCCTAGCAAGCACTCTCTAAACATCTCCCTCGTTGTCATCTTCTGTCTGTGCAATGTCCAGATCTAAGAGTGATGTGCTAGTATTACAGCTAAGTGACTGTGGTCCTCACACCCGTATGCTTAACATACGTGGCAGGTTAACAGTGGGTTTATTTACAAGAGAAAAGGGAAATGATTAACTCAGGGAATGAGATATGTGTTGCTTAATGCGTCCTACGAGTTGCACTGATCTAGAACCCCAGCAGCACACGGAAAACTGGCAAAGAGACAAGCTGTGAGCCACGAGGCCAAGAGCCCCCCAAAGCCCACATGCCCGGTTTTATATCCAAACATCACTGCTCAGCTCCACCCTCAAGTCCCAGCGTGCTTCCCTTCAGTGTTGCCGGGGTTTGGAGTTCCAGTGTCTGGAGTGGGGGTGGAGTCCACAAAACCTGTATCTGTAGAGTTCGTTCAGGATGTCCTTTCCCCTTACAGTTGCACCACAGAGGCATAGCTGTAAGCAGGCTGTGACGTGCCTGGCTTTCGCAGACTGCTAGGGAAGACGTCCAAGCCAATAAGCCTCCAGGAGGCAGGAGACAGTCCTTACGTGAATTGCAGGGGGACGGCACGTCTGAGATAGAATCCTAGGATGCTGTTTTTGCAAAAGTCCACCAACTCCCTTACTTAAGAATGAGGAAGCAGACCCAGAGTAAGCCAACAACGGATCTAAGCACGGTCAAGTGCAGTGCAGTGCTGAGACCAGAACTGTGTCTTTGGGATGGAAAATCAGCATCTTTCCCTCACCCTAGAATGTCCAACCAAAAGAGAATGGACCAGGGAGAATAGGACTTCCTGGATATAATGGTTTTAAAAATTGGTTGCCAGGCCCTCCCAGGTGGCGCAGCGGGTTAAAGCACTGCACTGAGAAACTAAAGCCGCTTCCGCATGAGTTCGAACCCCGCCTGCCCCGGAGGAGACCACATGGCGAGGCAGACCTCTCCTGACCCGCCCGCTGCTCCCCTCAGCAGTGTACTTCGTCGATCTGCCTGTTCTGCTCCCCACTCTGTCTCTGGTGAATCCTCTCACCCTCCGCATCTCTGGCCTGTACCCCAGTTCTGTACGAATAAATAAATAAATCTTTAAAAAAAAAAAAAAAAAAAAATTGGTTGCCAGGTGCAGCCCACGTCAACTAGCTAACCCGTCTCTGGCTAGGGCTCGTGGAGTGCCCACGGGCCTGGGTTGAGGTGACTTGTTCCCCCGACAGGACTGATCATGTCTGCCTTCACGGTTATCATCCTGATTCTGTACTTTGTGATCGACAACTTCGTGATACAGCGCAGGTCCTGGCTGCCCGAGTGCACACCCATCTACATCCAGTACTTTGTCAAGTTCTTCATCATTGGCATCACTGTGCTGGTGGTGGCTGTGCCCGAGGGCCTGCCCCTGGCCGTCACCATCTCTCTGGCCTACTCCGTGAAGGTGAGGTGGAGTCGTGCTGCCTCTTCCTTTAGGACAAGTCAGGAGGGAGGGGGCCGGTGGCCTTTGGCAAAAGGTTGGGTTTGTCCGTCCTCTCACCTCCGGTGTGCCTCCCAAGGACAGAAGTCCCTGGCTCTTTGGAAGGACTTGTCTTGATTAAGTAACCCAGTAGAACCTTAAAGGGGTTCATGAAAATAGTCTCCTTGTGTTTTTATGTGGGACAGGAAAACGAAGTGTGGAGAGGTGTTGGCTAAGAAATGGTCTTTGGGGGCCTCCCTAACGCTGCAAGGGGTTAAGTCTGAAGCAATTACCAGCCCCTGCAGCATGAGATTGATCCCCGGCCAGGGAGCTGACCCACATGGCGCACAGACCTCTCCTGACCACCCGCTGCTCCCCTCAGCAGTGTAACTGCAGTCAATCTGCCCATTCTGCTCCCCACTCTGTCTCTGGTGACCCCTCTCACCGCTGCCCCCAACACCCTGGTACCTCTGGCTTATACCCCATGCGTAAATAAACTCAATCCTGTGTTCTCTACCTAAAAGAGCTAACTGGTTCCCTCCAAATTTTTCTCCCTATAGAAAATGATGAAAGACAACAACCTGGTGCGTCACCTGGATGCCTGTGAGACCATGGGCAACGCCACGGCTATTTGCTCAGACAAGACAGGCACGCTGACCATGAACCGCATGACTGTGGTGCAGGTCTATGTTGGAGAAACCCATTACCCAACGGTCCCGAGCCCTGATGCCCTCCTGCCCAAGGTCCTGGACCTCATTGTCAATGGCATCTCCATCAACAGCGCCTACACCTCCAAGATCCTGGTGAGCTCCTTTGCCTGGGCACTTCGCACGGGGACTTGAATGGGAACGTTGATTCTTCTCTGGGGCAGTTCATTCTCTCTTGTTTATTCTACCTGAATTACCATCTCACATCCTACTTCTACTCCTCTGGGAACACTTTGGGGTGAGGCTAGGGACTAATCCTTGGAAGTCATGAGTGCAGGTCGCCGCCTGTGGCTGTGAAATCCCTTCCATCCCCATGTGAGGCCACAGCTCTAAGCCGGGGAGACCTCACACCAGCAAGAGAGTGGGACCGATCAGGAGTAAGTGATTCACTTTCCAGAAACCACAGACAGGTGTTAGAATAAGACAACACCCCCCAAGGCAAGACACTGGCACCACCCTCAGGGAGATGAAAAACCCCTACACCCTGGGGTGGCTCAGGGCTCACCCCCGCCCTGCCTGGCCTGAGGAGAACCCCGCCACCACCACCGCACCCCCAGCACACCTGTGAGCGTTCTGCCTGGCGCCCCTTCCTCCTGAGTCCTGGCGGCCTCCTCCCCGCCCTCTCTACGCCTTTTTCTGCAGCCTCCGGAGAAGGAGGGAGGGCTTCCGCGGCAGGTGGGCAACAAGACCGAGTGCGCCCTGCTGGGCCTCGTCTCCGACCTGAAGCAGGACTACCACGCCGTGCGCCAGGAGGTGCCCGAGGAGAAGCTCTACAAGGTGTACACCTTCAACTCGGTGCGCAAGTCCATGAGCACCGTCGTCCGGAAGCCCAGCGGCGGCTTCCGCATGTACAGCAAGGGCGCCTCGGAGATCATCCTGCGCAAGTGAGTGCCGGTCCCGTGCCCCGCGGCACGTGCGTGCCCCGTGCCACTCTGGGCCAGCTGGGGGCGGAGAATCATCCTTCCGGAGGCAGCACCGTCGCTGCTACCTGAGCGTGCGCTGGGCCTGTCTTTAAGTACCTCAGGGGACTCACTTGATTCAGTCCTCACAAGGGAGTGGCGTAGATACTGTTATGCCTGTTTTACAGACGACAAAGGTAACTGAAGGAAATGAAGTGGGGACCCAGTGATGAGCGGCACTGCCACCATGCGGGCCCCACAATGCAAGCTTCCAGTTCCCTGCCTGAAATAGACTAGGAGCCCCTCCCCACACAGGGCTACCGCGATTAGGGGACTCAGTTTGCATGAAATGCCTTACACCCGGCAAGCACTGGAAATGTGTGTCTTGTGTTCTCTGTCCATTCCCATTCTGAATTCTGAAGTAGGGAAATTGCAAAACTTGATCAAAGCCGCTGGATTGCTCCTAAGTCACTGAGAGTTGACCCTACATGGGAAAAGGGCCAGTTGCTGAACTCACCGGCACCCCAGTTGGAGTCTAGGATCTTCTTGCACTCAACTCCTTCTTAGCATAGCCTGGGCCCTAAGAAGAAGTGATCATGAGATCGCAGTGCTTGGCATTGCATTCATATCTGAGTAGGGCCAGATGACCTGGGAGAAGCGTGTGCTCCGTCCAACTAGGAAAAGGGGACTCCTCGGGGTGACAGAGGGAGATTTCTGGCCACGGACCAGTGTCTGTAGAAACCAACTGGACTTGCTAGCATGTCTTTAGCTGATTCTGGAAGGATATTAGATGGCTACCCCGTGCTAACTGGGTGCCTCCCCAGGTGCAATCGAATCCTGGACAAGAAAGGGGACGTCGTGCCGTTCAAGAACAAGGACCGAGATGAGATGGTCCGCACGGTCATCGAGCCCATGGCCTGTGAGGGCCTCCGGACCATCTGCATAGCCTACAGGGACTTCAATAACGCAGAGCCCATGTGGGACAACGAGAACGAGATCCTCACTGAGCTGACCTGTATCGCCGTGCTGGGCATTGAGGACCCCGTGCGCCCGGAGGTGAGACCTTGGCTTGGAAAAAGGGCAAGAACACGTGAAAGGAAGTCTTCTAGCAACCCCCGGTCCAGTGTAGGTCCAGAGTGAACTATTGGGAAGCCGCCAGGAGTCATGGGAACTGGGGTGCTACTGCTGCTTCTTGTTGTGACCCCAGGCAAGTCACCTAACTGCTTCTCACTTAGAGGGACAGGTGGTTCTCTGCCTCCTGCTTTGCAAACTGATAGAAGGTGGCTCCGGTTAATGCTATTGAGGGATGAGACCAGACCTGTGTTGGGCTTATTACTGGCTACTTAAGAACTAGCTGGGACACCGGCTGTGTGTTTCCACCCACCCATCCAGTGTGCCCCTCGAGAGCTCTCAACACCGGGCCATTACAAAAGTCTCTGCTTCTAAGAAGTCCAGGTCGAGGCCAGTTGTCAGGGCCCAGAGGCACGAGAGGGGTTCATGCCTCTGGGAGACAGAATTGATGTGTCTGGAGCACAGGTCAGGGCAGTGGAGATGCTAGAAACTTCTGCCAGAAATAAAGGGGGTGGCCAGGTCTCAGAAGGGAGCCTGGCTTCTCATGAAGACTGAGCTTCATGAAGACTGAAACAGGCTCCCCTTCCATTCCTGGTCCAGTGAGGACACTCAGACAGGGGGTTATGGGCAGGGCGGAGTGAGGTAGCACGCCCATGGCTCTGCTTCTCGGTGGCCTCTCCCTGCCCACAGTGATGGCCCTGCTGACCAGGAGTGGCTCACCAGGCCTCGCCACTCATCTCGCCCTTTCCTCCTCCTCACTCTCCACAGGTGCCAGACGCTATTGCCAAATGCAAGCGAGCTGGCATCACTGTCAGGATGGTGACAGGAGACAATATCAACACCGCCCGGGCCATCGCCACCAAGTGTGGCATCCTGACCCCAGGGGAGGACTTCCTGTGCTTGGAGGGCAAAGAATTCAACCGACTCATCCGCAATGAGAAGGGCGAGGTGGGTCTGGGCGAGGAACCCAGGGCCTTGTCTGGAAGGGAGGGGCTGGCTCTACTGCAAGGCGTTGGGGGGGAGGGAGGGAGCAGGAATTTTTGTGGGTGGCTTTGAAACTAACATCCATCCATAGTGAAATGCTCCTTCTACCAGAGCTGCTCAGAGGATAAAATCGGGGGTTTCTCCCTTCTCGTTATCTTCATTCACAAGTTTTTGAGACAGTGACTCTCACTTTTCACTTCTGTCCCTTGTTTTCAGTCACAGGATAATTTTGTTTCGCTTTCCCTCCCCCGCGCCTCTCCACATCACCGCACATGACTTGCGTGGCACAGCATGTGAGAGCATGCGATCTGGGGGTGCCCCTCGTCTGTGTAGAGACCACACCTGAGCCCTCAGAAGCACCACTGTCGCCGTTGCACAACAGCTGGCCCTGGCCCTCCCCCCATCAAGGGTCTAGAAGATGGGGGGGGGGGGAATTGGGAGGGAAAGTAAGACGCAGTGGGCACCATTGAAGAATCTAGCCCGGAGACCAAGCTGCCACATCTCCACTAGAGGCCAAGATAACACCCACCCTGGCCCTGGCGTGCCAGAACCCTCAGAAGCTCAGTGTGGAGGGAAGAAAGATTTGCCTGGATGGTTGTTGTTAGCTTGACTGACCCATATACCATCTGATATTGGCAGGTAGAGCAAGAAAAGCTTGACAAGGTCTGGCCGAAACTTCGAGTCCTGGCAAGATCCTCGCCCACGGACAAGCACACACTAGTGAAAGGTGAGGCCGACCCCTGGCCAGGGCAGTGGGATAGGTGGAGGCAGGCCAGAGTGAGCACAGATAAGAATCCAAAATCAAGGCAACACTCCTGACCTGCGTAGGAAGGTCCCAGGAGAGCTGCCGGCTCTGGGGGAGAACACCCAGCTGCACCCCGGTAAGCTCGGCATATGGTAAATTGTGGGTTCCAGAATAGGACCCCATGTTGTTTGCCAGCAATACAGTGAAGTAGGCAGAGCTGATTAATCTATTTCCATTTTGCAAATGAGGAAGCTGAGACAGTAAGAAAGAAACCCAGATTGCCCAGCTGATGGAGGAAAGGGGTGCAGTTGACCCCCAAGTCACTGACTTAAAATCATCAGGTGTTTTGTCCACCACATAGTAGCTATGTAGAAGACAGCAGGCTATCAGAGGACAGACCTTCCTAATCCACAGGGCCCTGTTATGCACCCATGGAGATGCTATGGAATCAATCTCCCGCAGAGGGAAAAGAAGGAAAAAGAAAGTGGAAAAGGAGGTGGTGGCGGGCCAGGGAGGAAGCGTCAAAGGCACCTGCGATGGGAACAAGGGGCCCAGGGGCCTCCATGGACACCACGTGGGCTCACGGCAGTGTTTGTCCCTCGCAGGGATCATTGACAGCACCATTGGGGAACAGCGGCAGGTGGTGGCTGTCACTGGTGACGGAACAAATGATGGGCCGGCGCTGAAGAAAGCAGACGTTGGCTTTGCCATGGTAAGTAGGCACAGCTCTGCCGGGAAGCCAGGCCAGGGCTTGGCTCCTCTGTCTCGCCCATCTGTGCTCTCCTCGAGCTCCACCTTCCCTACCTAGCTGGTAGGATAATAATATGTGTAACTGGGACCCATGAAGAACGAACACTAGGGCCTCCCTGGTGGCGCAAGGGGGTGGGTGTCAGCGCTATGATGCTCTCTGCAGCCACTGCAGCATGAGTTCAATCCCCAGCCAGGGAGCGGACCCAATTGGCACAGCAGACCTCTCCTGACCGGCCTGTTCTGCTCCCCACTCTGTCTCTGGGGAATCTTCTCACCACCACCACCCCACCCCCGCCACCCCGTACCGCTGGCCTACACCTTGATTCTTGATGCATAAATAAATAAAATGAATGTTTTAGAAAAGAACTAACACTAGACAACACGGGCAGGGAAACCATGACTGCCACTGCCCAGCACCACAGCAAGACCCCCTTGAACTTACCCTTGAGCTTTTGTCAGCCCAGGCACTAGTGAAGAAAACTTGGCGGGTGTGGAACTTGTATTCTGGCCCCCTCCTCAAGGTCCTGCTCCCCCTTGTGATGTGAGGAGCAGAAGGATCCCCCCAGAAAGTTCATTTTAGTCACATATTTCCAGGCCGCATCACTGGACATCTTAGTTCAGTAGTATCTGGGGTGGGCCCAGGAATGGGGGTGTTTGCTTAACGGCACATTTGTTGATTCTGTTAATCAGGAACATTTAGAAGCCCCCAGATTGCGAAGTCCATCCCCATACTCAATAGCTGATGGTTGTAAGTCTTCCATACATACCAAACTGTTGGTGATTTTTATGCAGTGGAAAGAATCAAGAAGTCATCTGTCACGAGGGCACTGTCTTTATCAACAACAAATTACTCCAGGGAATTTTAAGACTATACAAAAGCAAGGAATGAATAGAATGAACCCCCATGGACTTGTCACCCAGAATCAGTAGTTATCAGCCCTCGGCCATCTTCTTTCACTGAACACTTCGCCCCACACCCCCAAGCTCCGACTGAGCTCTCTAGTTTTTCTCAAGCAAATCCAAGACCTGGGTGTCATTCATCCACTTTGATACATCTCGTGGCTCTAAAACATGGCATCAAAATATACCTAAAAGAACCATATACCAATGATAATATCTTTATCATAACAAATTTGATTCCTTACTACCATCAAATATTTTGTCAATGTGAACATTCCCTTATATTGTTTTATAGTTTATTCATCTAAATCAAGGTCCAAGTAAGTGCCATATTGCAGTTGTTTGCTGTATCTCTTGGGTCTCTTAAATATAGCCATAGTCCTTAAAGCATGCTCTTCTTTCCAGCTGTAACAGCAGTTCCTAGAGAAATACAAATTCGGGGGTGGCAGGGAGGGAGCACCCCTGATCTACTGAAATCAGAAAGCCCGGAGTTGAGACCCAGAGAACTCTTTCACTGAGTCTACTCCATGATTCTGACACATCCTAAAGTTTGACAACTCCTCCTCGGGGTTCCCTGCAAGAGCACCCCAGACCACCCTTACGTTTGTGGACTCATTAGAAGCACTGTTGGGGCTCAGTGTAGAGTTGTGCCATGCCCAGATCCACTGCAGTGATACAGTTAGGAAAGCGCGGGAAGAGTCTAGAAGAATCCACAGGCGGGCTGCTCTGTGTTCTCTCCTGCCCGTGGGGAGTCACACCAAGCTCACTGTCCCCCTCCCCTCACCCCCTCCCCCAGTGAAACTGCAACAGGTGTGTGATGTTTCTGCCCAGGAAACTCATCAGAGACTTGGCACCCAAGGTTTTTATCGAGGTTGGTAATGCAGGCACCTTCACTATGATCTGTACCCCAGTTCTGTATGCATAAATAAGTAACTCTTAAAAAAAAAAATCCATCCTGGTGCTAGTCAAAATAAACAATTCAATGGTCACTTTTGGAGGATCTTAGGAAGTCAACTCATTGTTTTGGCACGTACTTTGATCCCAAGTCCCAGACAAGGCTCAGTAGAAATGACGACCAGTCAACTAACCGACTAACCACTGTGAACTCTTCACTATCACTTAGTCGCTGACTGGAAACACCGGAGAGCCAAGTTCCCAGATGCCAGCCGAGGCTCTACCTTTCTAGTGAACTCTTGTGCATGAATCTCTTCTACCTTTTCCCCCAGCCACTCAGTTCTGAAAGGAGCAGGTTATTCGTCTTCATCTTTGACCCCACATCGTGGACTCAGGATTGTAGCCCGGGGTGTCCTAAATGTGCTCTTTTATCCCTGTGTTGCCTATAAACTGGAAGTTCTAAAAGCGGACAGATTCCAGATCCCTTCTTTCGTTAGGGACTACAGAATGATGATGTCCTGACTTCCCTTATTTATTACATTAGAACTCTTCTATAAAAAGAAACTACCCCCGTCAACAATTTGGTTACCCACAAATTCCATTCCCACGGGAAAGGAGGACCCAGTGCTTGTTTTTCATCCCTTATTTTCTACTTTTCAAAACAATGAGTTGACTTCCTAAGATCCTCCAAAGGTGACCACTGAATTGTTTATTTTGACTAGCACCAGGGTGGATTTTTTTTTAAGAGTTACTTATTTATGCATACAGAACTGGGGTACAGACCAGAGATACAGGGGCAGTGAGAAGATTTACCAGAGACGGAGTGGGGAGCAGAGCAGGCAGACTGACTGAAATACACTGCTGAGGGGAACAGCGGGCAAGACTGGAGGGGTCTCCTGCACCACATGGGTCAGCTCCCTGGCCAGGGATGGAACCTCTTCTGAAGTGGCTACGGCCAGCTTCACAGTGTTGTCCTATAACCCGTTGTGCCACCAGGGAGGGCCCAGTTTCTTACATGTTAAGATATTCCAGAGTCATTGAGCAGATTTCTTATCCTAGGTCTGGAATCATCCATTTCTCAAAGGCGTCCTGCTACCTCGTAGTGAAGAATGGTATTTAGCAATCACAGTCTGAATGCCACAGTCTAAATACTCCTGAGAAAATCCTTGTTTCTAAAGCTTTTCAGTAGACAAAGCTAAAAAATATGTCTTTTGTAGCTCTTGCTTTTGCACTTGCTTATTTTAAAGTGCTTTGTGAATTCATTGGTATTTCCAATTCAAATTTTGCATTATGGAACTCCAACTTCCTCATTTCTAATTTTCTAATTTTATTTAACTTCCCTGATTTTGTGTTTGTCTCTGAAGCTGAAATGTTTCGACCCAAATAGTATTAACGTAATGATTTCATGGTTTATCCTAAAGTATATGTGATAGCTTCTAAGCAGCAATCATAAGAACAATTATTCTAAAAGCAAAGATTTTTCTTACATTTCTTCTTATCCTGTAAGTACATCCTGCTAGTAATAGACCATAACATTACTTTTTAAAAAAAGTCATTTGAAACGTTTATCCTTTATGTCTTTCTGCTTCCAACTGGCTGTATCAGCTCATTTATATCTCCTGCTTTTCATCTTAGAGATTGCTTTTTTTTTTTTTT